GGAGGACTGCTGCCAGAGAGCAGGCAGCATGCTAATCAGGATACCTCTTGCCATGGGCTATTTAGGGAATAGCCTCTTATCCCACCAATTCCCCATGCCTTAGCCAGGGAAACGAAAGAGAAAAAGGGGAGTGAATTCCCTGAGTGCACAATCCAAGGACAAAATATTAGAAAATGGATCTTTATCTTTGCTCTCGGCCAATATCCATATTAATTACGAAAAAAACAACATTGCATATGTACTGAATAAAATATAAAGAGATTTGTCAAACACATACAGGAACAAATTATGACCACCCTGTATAATTGCCTTTTCTGATGATGCTAATTTAATCATCAAACAAAAGTAAAGTTATGCTGAAAAAAAGAAAATATTACAATGATTTTCTTCATAAAGAATTTAATTTTCCTCATACTTCAAACAAGTCTCACAGAGGCTTTTGTTTGACTTCACTAAGCTGGCATCACACACTCTACCCTATGGTTTAACCTTTGCAAAAAGCAGGATGTGTATAAACAAGATCCTCAGTCATTTGCACATCACTTCACACTGTTTATTGCAATTAGTCTGATTATTCATAACAACATCTTCCCAAGCATCCCATTGTAGTCGGCCAATCCAGGAAAGTGATTTATATCCGGTCGACTGTCATGGGGGAAGGAAGTGAGATGGTTGGAGTGGTTCTGTGGTAACATGCACGCTCCCCCACTCGCACGGACAACCCCTCAGAGTTTGGCAACTCTCCAGAGCCATGCAGGGGCGGCGGAGTACAGCGGGAGCCTGAGTGAGAAGCACACATTGTGCACCGCGGGACCCCACCAGCCCCGGCCCGAAGGCACAACTCTCAAGGACATGGAGAACTGGGGCAGAGAACTTCCAGGCTTCCAACTGGTAGGGCAGGCTGAGAAAAAAAGAGGGAAAGTTTCCAAAGTGTCTCTGTCTGTGTGAGCGTAGCTGGTGAAATGTGTTGTTAGGAGAGATACATGGATTCTCTTGATCAGTAAACACTAATCATGCAAATGTTTCTTAAGAGTAAAACAGCTCTCTAGAATCCTGCAAGTGTGTGACATTTAAATGTGGAATAGAAGTGATGTGAAAAGTATACATGAGTCATTCTGTGACAAAAGAAAAAGTGGAGGGGTCAAACTCATAAAGGTGTGTTGTTGTTAGGGAGGTATGATGAAAAGGGATACCAATCAAGAAGGTCTTTACTAAAACTATGTCTGTGCATGTAGATGCACATAACTGTGTTTGTGTTTCTATCTCACTGTATTTTCTGATACCCTCTGATCTCCTAGTCAAATATAATTACTGACTTGTATGACACCCCAGCAAGTGATACATTTGAATCAATGGCTCAAATATCCTCATGGTGCCATGGAGGAAAGTGTAATTCTAGGTTTTGCAGACAAATAAAAATGTAATCTGAAAATGGAAATTACATCTTACTGTTGTACTAAATCCAAGGGTTCTGTTGAAAATCTACAATTTGAATAATACGGATATTTCTTTTTAATATGATAGAAAATGATTTATATTATAGTTTTGGATATAGAATTGTACAAAAGAGGCAAAGTCTTTGACACTGCTTGAACAAGCATTGGAAGCAGCAGCCCTTTCCCTCATTGTCCTTCCAGTCAGGAGCTCAGGTTTACTGTGGGTCAGCCCCCTCTCTCTCTACATCAGGGGGAAGGAACCACACTGATCTGAGATGGAGTACCCCCAACCAAACCTTACCACATCGACCCATGCTACCATCCTGGGCCTCTAATGGAAGTCCTGGGCATCCAGACGCCTCCCCCGCTCCGACATGGACGTCAAGTAGCGCTCTACTCATCATTGGAAGCAGCAGGCCTCACAGCCCTCCTTTTCTCTCCCTGGGACTGGCTTTTTGGGAACATTGCAGGCAGATGTGTCCAGATGAGCACGTTCTAATTTGTGGGCCCAGGTTAATGCTCCGCCAGAGGCCCCGGAGGATCAATAGCTTTATTTCCCTAAAACGCCAGCGTGGTGAGAACCAGCTCACGGGGTGCTTTTAATACCGCCACAGTTCCAGTGATGACTGGGCTGTATTGATTGTGCCCATGTGGAACTACGTGCGCCTTCTGGGGAAGGATCTATTTGTGTCACCCTGGGCTGGGATGGGGGCTCCACTGGAGGAGTAGAGAGCTCAGCCAATGGAGGATGCCAAAAACATCAAAACAGCCATGTTTACAGATTACCCAAAGGGAAAGCAAATTACAGCAATTATGCAGGCTGTGGGAATACTGATATCAGCATACCTGCTATTTCACCCAGAGACTACTTTTATGAGGCTAGAACACATACAAAACAGCACACTCAATTTGATTTGATGGCTAAACCCTCAACAAACGATGGGATTTAAACAAAGCACTGCACATCAGATGCATGCAAAACAATGTCTTTCTAGGGGATCACCCTGTTTGTGTATGTCAGGTCCAAAAACTCTTTTCAGTTGTTTTGAAACTAGATATAATAGCTTACGCAAATATCTGTGCGTGAGGCAAGTATGTATCTGGCAGGCATAGTGATGAACATGTAATACTGAACATTGTCTCTACCAGAGGTTTTTTTTTTTTTTTTTTACCAAACAATGGCAATTAATCATTCTTTGTAAACACTGCAAATTGCTTTACAGAAAACTAATTTACCCTTGCAGCATTTATCTCATATATCAGTGGAGAGACAACATACAGAGAAGCCTTATCCAAATCACGGGCCTTTGTTTGCAGCTGTCGTGACATATTCATGACTGGGGCCATAATAGTCAGATTCCTGTTATATCCCCCAGGGAGAGCAGAGAGAATGGTGTCACATCCAATTACTGCGGCACACTGTAGAGGTAAATCAAAACTCGTGCCGTGAACTCTGGAATCTAAGGTGCACACATACACATACGCACACTGCATGAGCAAAGCGAGACAACAGTTATATAGACATTGATAGAATATTGGAAAAAACATTCTCCTGGTAACTTGGAGGTCATGTATGGATTACACAGGGAAATGGGATTGGCTGGAGGCTGTTGGCTGCCGTCTTCTCAAAACATAAATTGACATACATATGATCTAGGAGCAAGTGAGGCAGACAGCACTTGCTCAAGATTTTACAATTATGGATTTGTTCGCCTGTGTGCAGAAATTGAAATTGCAGATGAGGACAGTGATGTGCCCCTTATTGGAGGAATAACAATCGGGTCACCAAGTTCACCCACACCTTCTACTCAGCACCAGTAAGATGCATTTCTGCGGAGTGAAATTAATGCCTTTGTCTTCTCCTCCACAGCAGTACTTTGGGAGGCCTGGTGGTTTGGTGGTTGGAGGGTATCTCAGCAGTGCATAGCCCAGTTTCACCCTGGAGCGGTGCAAAGCTCCTGCCCAATAAAACAGGCTGCATCCCCAGGGCCCCTCCCTCAAGCCTCCAGTCAGCGCTTGTTTTTGCACCATTTATTTAGTGTGACACATCTCCAATTAAACTGTGGAGGCTGCTGCATTCCCCCCATAACTACCTCTTATACCTCCCCATAGACTTTCTGTCACACTGAGAGTGTGGGTATGAGAGAGTGAAAGGGAGAGTTAGTGGAAGAGAGAGAGAGAGAGAGTTAGTGGAAGAGAGAGAGAGAGCGTGAGTGAGAGAGAGCGTGAGAGAGAGAGAGAGCGAAAGAGAGAGAGAGAGAGA